TTTCTTCCTAAGTATGTTTCATTGTGCAATTAAGTTTCCTTGCAGAGGTTTGGGCACAGTAAATTCTCCTTGATTCCGAGGAGTGCGTGCAGATTTTCAGGATCACACAAGGTAGTTTCCTTATCAAGGACTTTCTATCTTAGTTGCTTAGATGTAAATTCAGATGCATGCTTCGTCGAAGAAAATGTTCGTCCATTAACGATGGTGCGTGTGTTAAGGGATAAAAATTCCACGTCAAATAAAGATAAAAATATAAATCAACTTATAAAAGATTGGACTACTCATTTTAAGAAGGTTAACATTTTAAGATAGAATCGCAAGTTTTGAAAGCATGAAGACTAGAGAGGCGATAATAGTGACAAAGGAGAAGGTAGATGTGTCAGACATTTTCTTATTGTGACCGCAAACATGTATAATTACCACGCATTTCTTGCTGAAATGACACGTGGCCTTTGCTGCAACGTATGTGCCTATGTGTAGCCTTTGCCAGATCCGAGGTGCGTAACAAAAATAATCGGTAAATATCACACGAGTTCACATCCTTGTCACAGCTTATTTATGGAAATTTCAAAGCGAATGTGTGTGTGTGTGTGTGTGTGAAGGAGAGTCTTGGAGATATGATACGGGCATAGGGAAAATTCCTTGATTTTCATATGGTTTATATTTTTCACCGATCTTATTGATTTTCATCGAATAGGTCGGTCCAATCACATTTCAGGTATGGACAACCAAGGACAACAACCAAGGACAGTATTGATGGTTCTAATTACCTAACATATATTTTTCTATTTGATACTGTTGAAGCAAACAACTCTCACATCGGTTGTGGGAAGAAAATAAATTTATCATATAACTCGAGTGGGCTATTCCACCCATTACCAATTGGTTTTGGAATGGAACCTCACTTGGGCCTGATGGAATGGGCTTGGGCTTTGGGTAATTGCTCCTAATAATCCCTAACAGATACTTTAGTAGTCACCACGAGAATGCTATTAAACAAATCACAAATTAATCACGAAATAGAAGAAAGCTTCTAAATATGAAAACTAACTATAAGTAATTACTAAGTTTCTAAAAATTGGTGACTTTTTACTT